AAAAGATGTGGAGAAGCTTGAGAGAGTCCAGAGAAGAGCCAGAATCCAGTATTTATAAGATCATAAGTTCATGGTAACTTTCCAGGCAAAAAGCTTCAAAAGAGTCTTAGTGTCTCTTCCAGCACTTCTAAAAATGGGACACGAATGGTTTTGAAAACGTTATCCTTAGCATTTTCTCTCTTCCCCTTGAACTGTGGGTGCATTAAATCCTTTATGTATTGCAACTATGGTGGTATTTTCACTGCAAGGTCCCTTGGGCTAAAGGCCACATTTCACACAGCCATAGTTCAACCAGAGAAATTAAGTGTTCTGGCTCTTAAGAAGCTGGTGTCTAAAACACCATGAACTTTGAACTTGTAATAACTAATTCTGGGTTTTGTGCTTTCTCCCATTGTTTTCAGAAACGGCTTTGGTTTCAAAGTCATATAAACACTTGAGGAATAGTTTTTATGTAAAATTTCCTAATGTACCCCCATGCAGATGTGGGCTATAATCTGGAGTCATGAGGGAAGTGTACTAGAAAGTGAACCAGGTTCACCTAACATATGACTTACTGTAATGAGTAAGTTTGAGGTATAATCAAACCAGTAGACACCTGAGAGTGCGAAAAGCTGGCTCATTATACCTCGTGCTGCTGCTGAAGTTACACGGTTGTAAAGGAAAATTATTGGAGAAAATAAAAGACTGTCAGATTTTGGTCATTTGAACATGAGCAAACCTGAGTTTTTTGCAATTGGAAAATGTGTAATGTCTGTGTCAGCACAGGCCGCGCCTCATGCTGCACATGTCACATACAAATCACCCGGGCAGCATTTCTTTGCTTGTGGGAATTTGCTTCGGGTGGGTTGCTTAAAAATATGGGACAAGTCTCTAGGCTGAGAGATGGCATGGCCAAGCATGCTCACCTGTGAGAAACCAGGATAGAAGGAAACATGAAAGTCAGTGTAATGTTGCTGATTGTGGAGTTGCGGTATTAACTCTTTTCATAGTGCAGCAGGCTTCGTATTGAACTTCCGCCAATTCTCGTTATAAAGTGAAAACCCTTGGAACAAGTGGAGGTGACGTGCATCTTGCACATGTGTTATTCAGTTCTGAACTGCCAGGATTTGTGGCCGTTTAACTGTCTGCCTTGGTTCACAGTGGTGCTGTCCATCCTGTTTGGCACTGTAACTTTCTATTCACTTCCCAACCAATAGAGAGAGGCAGATTCTCACTTTGGCTAGTTAAACAGATTGTGAGCCGTGACTCTGCCAAGTATACACACTGCAATTGGAAATGGATATTTGAAAGAAATAAGTCACTTAGGAGTTTAGTAAAGTCAAGTCAAAGCATCCACAGCCTGTTTCGCTTTGAATGATTTGCAACTGCTATGCTCACCCTGCTTTTGCAATGAAAACAAATACTTCTATAACCATAATCTCCACCTGAAAAAACATGAATAGTTTCCAAAGTTCACAGCCTCAGTCAGGAATTAAAACAAATAGTTGCTGGGAGCAGGCAGAAGCCTTTAATGTAGATGACGGTAACAGCTGTAGTCAGCTGCCACAGATCTGTCCAGCAGTTTTAACTCATGGCATATGTCCTGTAGTGTGAAATACCTGGTTGGCCAGTTATGAGAATTGAGGCTGACTGGTATTCATCACAGCTGATCTCGATTTCATTTTACTCGCCCATAACAAATTAATCCAATCTGAAACGCTCAATTGTGGGCGCATCAGTTTTTACCCTGTTCCTGGATGACTCCACATAAACCAATGGCAGTGCTCGATAAAAACATCTGCGGTTTCCTGATGAAAAATTCCCTGAATTCAGAGTGCTGATGGGGGTCCATTTCTCTACAGCTCAGTGCTGTCCAAGCTTTAGACATTTGATTCAGCCAGGATTTGAACTCAGTTCTTTCTTTGACTTTGACAAGTCACTCACGGTAAAATTTGCACGTTGAGGGGTCTGAGTTAGTCTCCAAAATCAGTATGTACCAATCTTATACAGAACATGCTGGTTTTTCAGAGGTGCTGGCGTCACTTATTCCCACTCTTTGCAAGAATGGCTGCCAACAACTCTGAGAAATCAGCCTTTAAGTACTTTAAATGCTTGGTGGTAAAATTTTGGTATGAGCATCTTCTCCTTAATTTACTCATTCATGAAATGCAAATATTTAATTCTCTACTTACTGAGGGAATAATGAATTAATGTGTCACATGCTAAAGAATAATTAGTAAGTAGTATTTAAAAACGTGTTTGCCATCATAACATTATATTAAAAGAAAATTCAGTAATTTATCCTCAATTTACTAAAGTAATGCCAGGCTGCATCAGAGATTTTGAAGACTAGAAAGTTTTTCTAGATCACCACAGGGCTTATTTTAGTTTAAGTAGGAGTTCTTTCCCAGGTGCAACCAATAAAGCTTGCCTTTGCTAATCTCTTCCAAAGGAGTTGGAAAACATTGAGCAATGGCTGACAGCAGTTAAAGAAAGGAGATTGGCTTGCAACGGGAGTTCTTAGAGAAAATGTGCATAGCACGTCACTATAATAAGGATGGTTAAGGAAGCATTAAACACTAATAAAGACAATGGATCCAGTATTTATATGTAGGGATTTAGGTCACCTCCTGAGAATTTTTCACCTCTTCACTGTATTGCCGCATTGTATTGTTTTTTCCCTTATAGGACTCCCGGCTGGAATAGCAGCCATGATCTGTTTAATGAGCAGAGTGTGTGACTCACCAGCTCTGATCCATATGGAATTTTAATCTATCCATATGGAATTTTAATCTGCCTTGCACTGTTAGAGAGGCACCAGATGAGTATTTTTAAAGCTGCTGAATTTCCAGTTTCCTTTGGGAAACCTGTGCATCAGAAGGATGACTTGCATTTGAGGCAGATTAATTCCTCTTTCTATATTTTGTCCTGCAGTGATAATACCAAACCTTCATTTAAACTAACCTTTTAAAAAGCTCCAGTGCTTGGACCTTGTATGCCTTATTTCAGATTTTAAATATTTAAGCACTAAAGTTGAGACTTACATTGGCAATGGTGATAAATGTAGGTAACTCGTGTTTCAGTTGTCAGCCCTCTATTTACTGCGGCTTTCCATATAATAATTCCTATTTAGTTCTAACTGCTGACCACGTTGCTCTCACCAAATGTTACTGGCTAGGTTGCCACAGAACTGAAGCCTGTTGTAGCTCTTTAGCCTGCTTTTCAGCTGATGGCGGTGTCATCAGTCTACAGTTAGAAGTAGAAAGACCCTGCTGTTAGGAAGGGTTAAAACTCACCAATAATTCCCTCCTTACCCCCCCTTCCACCCCGGCAGACATAATCCTTGTATCAAGGGATAGTTGATAGAGATATATCTATATAGATATATATAATGATGTCCTTAAGTTTCCTGCCACATAACTTTTCCAAATTTTGGGAACCTCTTTAAATTAGGATCTTGCTTCTTACACGTGCCCCACCAAATAGCGGTTGTACTGGGTACTGTTTATTCTGCTGCGAATCCACAGGTTGGAGCCCTCTTGCTGATGATCTGCATCTAGCCATATGCTTTCTAAGTTATGGTATGGCCCAGATGCACCTGGGTTAACTTTCTCTCCCTGCATTGTACAGCACAACTTTATATGTGACCGTTCTGCTGTAGGTGTATGCTACTCTTAGCAGCAGCTTTAAGTCACAGACAAGTAATAGGATTTTTCAGATAAGCTAGCCAAAATGTTTACCCTGGAAGATCTACGGCAGAGGTTCCCAAACTTTTTCTTACTATGTACCCCCTTCCAAATTTACCAGCTGCCCGTGTACCCCTACCACCATGCATTTTATATTCGAACCCCTTAAATGCCAATTATTATTATAATGAACATTAAATCCACCATTACACAGTTGCTCTTGTGTACCCCCCAGAGATGTCTTGCGTACCAGTTTGGGAGCCCCTGATTTGTGGTAAGCATCACATGGTAAATTTGCTGGGGGAGAAGAAAAGTGCGGGTGTACCTTGCAGGTGATGACCTGTTTCCTGTTACTGCTGTACTTTGTCAATGATTTGGTAACCTAGACTGTGTGCAAGTTTCAGCTTCGAGCAGGATGTTCGGAGGATGTGCTGATTCGGTTACTTGTGTGTCCATTGGATTTAATTTTATGTTGAGGACTCGGTTCACAGTATTCAATTACTGTATGCCTAGAAGAAACCTTGTTAAACATTCCTTGTTATTTCTACAGGAGGGGAAGCTGTCTGAGGATAGCAATGCAAAGTGGTTTCTTTTGTCTGTTTTTGCCGCGATCTTTACTGTTTTCTTTTTATTTCTTCTTTGCTTTCTCTCTGTCTCTGCCTTTCTTGCTGCCTTTCTCTCTTGCTGTGGGTATTGCTCAGAATATTTAGACCTGCAGTCAGAGGGTATGTATAATGGCGACATTTTCAGGGTTCCAAACATCCACCTGACAAGTAATCTCTAATTAAACATTTGCTGCTGGGTTGGGGTTAGGGTAGCTGTACTGCTGGGCTGGCGAATGATGCTGGAAAGCCCATCTTTTCACTATTGTTAAAAATGTGCCCAGAAGTAACACTTTGAAAGCCTGATTTGAGGTTATAGGCAGTCCTGGGTGAAAGATGCAGGCAGAGGCAGTACACTGGTAAAGGAATCATTTAAAAATTAACACAGCATTTGAATAACTCCATACATCTCATCCAGTCCTCGAGTTTCTGCCATTTCACCTGTTCATGAGCTCTTTCTGCAAATAGGAATACCTCTTAACGGTATACAGGAAGGGCCAGTTATTTAGGCTGACTACAGTAAAACCTTGTTAATTGTGCTTTCCTCACACGCTCGATACACCTGCAGAACAGTTCTCTTCTATAAAAATGGGGGACAGTGCTGTTGTGAGATCTCCTAATTTGAGACTTTGCTGTAGTGACATTACTGAACGTTCGCTAGCATGTTACAAAGTAGAATCGGTAATAGAACTAAGTAAGATCTATATTTTGTCAAATCAGAGTCATTTTTTATGGTTAGCATTGCATTTTTAATTGCATTGTACTCATTGCTGTCTAAAATTCATCAATTCAAACAGCGTCTCCCCATCATGTTGTGCAAAATTAGCAAGGCTCTACTGTAATTTCCTTATTAGCTCAGAGATGAAAGGAAAAAACACTGGTGTAATAAATGACAGCATAATTATGTTTCATCATAAAGAACGTACATCACTAAAAAGTTTACTGTCAAAGCAATAAAGGATAGCTAAGTCTTGCAGAGGAAGCCGCTTTTCTGACCTACTGTCATGAGTGAGACAGGAAGTGCAGCTCAGCCTTTACATGCGCCTGAAAGGCAGGAGGCTTTCCAAGCTGTTGCAAGGTGAGTGGTATTTAAAAGTATATTTTGGCCCACTGAAGTGCTTGCTTTTAACCCTGTGCTATTAAATGCCATGTTACACATCTTGAAGGTGTCCTGTGTTTCTCAAGCAGTCAAAAACTGAGCTGCAGTTCTTTAGCCTCATGGCATAGCAGTGTGAGTCAGGCTTCCTGCTGGGAGGCATCAGTCAGATTGAAGCCCTTGTGCAGGGAGCTTCTAGCAGAACTTAGCTGGTAGCGACAAGTCGAGTGTTCTCTAACTTGTGTTGAAAGCAAACACCTCTCTAGCGTAGGATCTTTAAACAGTTTTTGTGAACGTATTATTCAGGGTGTAGGGTTAAGTATGCAATCCAGCAAAGTACAACGTGTAAAGATATCTTCAGCAGTGTTAATTCAGCCATGTCTCACATCCAGGGTTGTTGTGGTATGTGGCTAACAACATAAACAAGCATATAATTTACCTGTAATAAGGAAAGCAGGGAAAGTAAATACTACCTGAATGTAGTATGATAGTTAATCTTTCTGGGAAATGATTTCTGCATTTCCATGTTGTGTGTGCTTGTTTTTTTAATTTTTACCATTTTACATTAGTAGAAGCTTTTGCATTTTATTTCCTCGCTTTTCAAAGGGTATAGAAAGTGTTTCACTGCTGAGCCGTTGTTAAATGTCATACTTAAGCAGCTCCTTTGAAGCTGGGGCATACTAAAAAATTGCAAGCATTTTGCTGTGTATGCTCATGTACAAGTTTAAAAAGTACTACCACCTTTTAAAATTTCTCTCCATGCTGGGCTGATTTTTTTTTTTTTTTCTTCTTCTTTCTTTGGTGACTAAAACTTTGTCATGTTTATCATCTATATTGCTACCTGGCTTTAAATTAGGTACTAATATCTTTTCTATATGCTCCATTTTCTGAAAAACAATTGAAATCCCTTTCAACTCAAACTTCTGGCATATCCAAAAACCAAACCAAAAAACAAAACTCACCCTGACCTGAGACCAATCACAAAAATTTCAGCCTCAAAGAATGTCTTAATGAGCAGCAATGGAAACGAGTTTAGAACAAAAGCTGGAATTCAGTGGGTGCATCTACACATACATTAACACGCTTTAGTTAATGTGCATTAAATCTAGTACCTCTGGTCACTTTTACACATGCTCCAGAGGTGGAGGGGACAGCACTTTAATTAGAGCATCTCAGAGAGCTGTTCTAATTAAAGCCCTGCCATATCTCATGTATCAGCCCCCTTCACTTAAAAATGGCAGCAGGTGTGCTTGAACTAAAGCTTGTTTGACAAGGTTTAGTTCAAGCACCCCCGCCATCGTTTTTAAGCACGGTAACACTGATACAAGAGATGTGGTGCTTTAATAGCACAGTAAATGTACTCCATGGTTATGTATAGGTGCCCTCCATTGTGAGGTACTAGAAAAATGCACGTTACCCTGTCTTAATGTATATTAGCTAAAGAGCACAGTTTTTAAGTGACACTTAATGCGTGTTAGCCTATTTTAATGCACATTAGCTAAATAGCACAGTTTTTAGTGACACTTTAAGCGCCTTAAAATAAGCTAATGCGCATTAAAGCACATGTGTAGATGTGCCCAATCTGAACTAGTGCTTCTTACCAGTGGAAACCATTTCATTTCTTTAATTGTATATTGCAGGTCTCATTTTGTAAAGTCTCTTGTAAAGGCTGCTAACTTCTGTGCTTTGGATCCACTGAGTGGAGCACCTATACAACCGCTTTGGAAGTTCCTACTTTTGCTTCCAATAATAGTTAAGATTGAGGATGAAACTGTTTAGCTTATATCCCTGCCAGCAGCAGTGAAAACCTGCCAATTCCTTCTGCCGAAATAGCTCTTGAAATAGTAGCTGGCAATGGTTGTTGTTTCCATTGCTTTGGGCATGAACTCCGAGGTGAGAGCTGGCATTCTCTCCGCTGCTTGATGAGGGCTCCGGAAAAGGAGTGTGGCAATGATGGCATTTGCAATTACAGCAGAGCTGTTGCTTTTCATTCTTCCATGATTGCGCAAGGGATTTTGGTGGAGCATCTGCTGACATGCAGCAGAGAGAATGGCCCTCCAGTTTCCCAGACTGAATGGAGTTATATTGTCACCGTGGATGTTTTGAGCTCTCCCGTTTTGGGATACATTTTTCTTTTCCGTGCCTGCTGGACTGTTCATCCTGCATGACCTGTTGGTTTCTTATTTGTTTATGGGAAGCATGAAAAATAAGCCCACAAGTCGGCTGTCTTGCTCATATCTTGTTCCGCCACTAACTCGAAGGGTTGCTGAAATGCATTTAGTGCATTTTTCCAAAACGATGCATGCTGTGGAAAATCGGGCATGTGCCATGTCTCCAGCACTTTTATTGAAATGTTAAATATCCATTTCCTTGATCTGACTTGTGCTTGTTTAATTACAAGGTGACCAAACTGATGGTCACGGCTTTCGCTGTCAGAATTGAAAACGTTTGTCAAAGATGGACGTTGAGCTCAATAATTGTCATAGATATGATCTTTTACGTTGGGCTTCTACGACTTAAAATGGCATATTTGCTTCTGGAACCGCTCAGTGAAGCCCTACCATGTTATGTGACCTCCTGTAATTACTGGCCAGCGGATGGTTTTGACAGCCTGTTGACAAGTGTGTCATTAGCATGGCTGCCATTGCACTTCCTTTGTTCACAAAATTCAGCTTGCAAGGGCTCGTTTCTGGGCTTAGCATGGAGCACGTCGTGTTTAGGTGTGCTGTTTATACAAGTCTTGTGTATCCATTTGTAGTGTCACCATCCTTCCTAGTATGTTCTTGCAATATTTTGATGTCTATGATACTTACTGATTGTTTACCAAAGAGAGACTAGCGGATAACTAAAGTGTATCCCAGGAGCCACGATAGTAAGCTTCGGAGGTGGGTAGAATTGGACTCTAAGGTTATTTTATTCAGTGTTACCTTGACTAATACTAAAGACCTTTGTATCATTGACCACTTCAAGCTGACTTCTTTACAGATGATTTGACAATGAGAGTTGTTTCAGTGTTGTGCTCATCGTTGTGAAAAACCACAATTAGGTGATGTGGTCTGGGGGTCCCCCCCATTCAAGTGGTGTGAATCAGATTCCATCTGGCACGTCGAAATTCCCACTCAAGTTGTGGGGACCTTCATTGTGCCAACCTGTGGGCTAGTGAGAGGCTGAATGCAGCAGCATTGATTGTGCTGGCAAAGCTTAAGTTTGTCGTTGTAAAGAGCTTCCCTAGTAAAGCTGGGCGGGAGGGAGGAGTAGAAATGAGAGACTCAACAGAATTAAAAGACGTTAGAGGATAGGGGAGGAAAGGCAACCTGAAAAATTAAAAGATAAAAATACGAACCTTTCCTTGCACAGAAGCATCCGAGTGAAGCTGACAGATAGATAGAGCCTCCTTTCTTTAATATTCCTCCATCATTCCCATCAGGCCAGGCCTCTCTTGGTCTGCTGTCTGGTACTGTGTAAACCAGTACAGCCTGTTCCACGGTTGGGTTGTCGGTGACTAAACCGACACCCCCACCTGGGCTAAACTGGGTGAGGATGGTGTGTGAACACCCAGCAGGACTAAAAACAAGACTTGTCAAAGGGTGGATGAGCTCCCTGTGAGCCAACGACTGTCCATACCTGGAGAAGAGAAGGGCACCGCCAGGTCGCTTTGCCTGAAGACTCGCTGATGATGCGCAGCATCTAAGGTGCCTCAGCTGTCACGGTTGCCTTGGAGCTGACTTGACTTGACTTGATTCTTCATTAGCTGGACAGCTTGACACTATTTAACTACTGATCATTTTTCTTCTAGGATGCTTTTGAGACCTACAGTAACCCCAAAGGGTGAACATATCAGTTCTCTCCTCAGGAGGAAATTACACTTTCAGGGAAGTTATTGGAGGGAGGGAGATTAGCTTTGGCGATAACTCTGAAGTAGGGCAAAGGGAGCTAAGCTTCTAGGTTCAGACAGATGATATTACCAAAGAAAGCTCATTGCAAATAATTCTGTGGGGCGCATATTACTCCTTAGGGATTGCACGTGCGCTAAGAAGTGACAACTCGGTGCTAAGCTGGACAGTAGTGCATCTTTCTCTGAGAAACAAGTTGGCAACATTTGAAATTCTTTGCTAAAGAGAGAGGTGAATTACCAGTTATTCAGACAGACTGATGACAGGCAAATGTCTGAGACAAATTACTAGGCAAGCAAAGGAGGAAGCTATCTGGTGGCAGCTGCCTGACCATTGTTGTACTGGGAGGATACTTGTTTTTTCCCCCAGAGGCAATCAAGAGCCAGTGAGTGTTTTCTTAATAGCCACATAGAAGAGAATTGATGCCTGCTCTTTGAAAAGGGTATAAACTTTCTTAAAACCAAGATGAACCCCAAATAATGGGCTTTCTGGTGTACTCTTGGGATTTCATAGAATCATAGACAAGGAGGGCTGGATGGGAGCTCAGGAGGTCACATCTCCAACCCCCTGCTCAAAGCAAGACCAGCCCCAACTACATCATCCTGGCCAAGGCTTTGTCTACCCAGTTCTTGAAAACCTCCAAGGATGGAGACTCCACCACCTCTCCGGGGAGCCTAGTCCAGTGTTTCACCACTCTCCTTGTGAGATTTTCCTTCTAATACCCAACCTCAACTTCCCTTGCTGCAGCTGGAGCCCGTTGCTCCTTGTCCTGTCGTCTGCTCCCACTGAGAACAGTCCAGCTCCAACCTCTTTGCAGCCCTGCTGCAGGGAGTTGAAGGCTGTTATCAGATCCCCCTCAGTCTAGATTTTCAGTGATGGCTTGGATTTGAGGCTAATTCCAAACGTAGCTGTGACTTATAATTTTTATTTTAACCCCTTCATCTTTTTAGGTATCTAAAATAGGAATATCAATTCTGCTAGAGTTTTTCCATCTCCACAATAAAGTCAATGCTACCTATCCCCAGGGGTTAAGGCTTCATTGACAGTGGTCAGAGTGCCCCAAGATCCCTTCATCTTTATTTCTTTCCTTTTTTCCCCCCATTGGTTGGGTATTCCTATAGATGAGGCACATTCAGCCAACCCTGAAATCTTGATGTTGCTCCACTGTATGTAACATCCAGCGGCTGACCTCTGTAGCTTTGTGTCCATCCACGAACAACCTGCCATTGGGAGGAGACTTTTCAGATTCCTCTGGTCCAAATTAGTAAGTGCGGATGTGTGTTTGTTGCTTTGATAGGGGGCTGGTCTTGATCCAGCAGGTCTTTTCCAGCCCTGTGTTGACAGGCATGGAGAGTCCATGTACACAGCTTCTAAATGTAAGTCACTGAGTCATGATCCATAATATTTGGAGAGAGCAGTCCTGAGTGCAAAAGACCTTCAGGGATCTGCAGAAAACAGTCCAAATGGGCAATCTGGCTATAATGGTGTGCATCAATAAAAAGCCCAAAGGAAATGGACCCTGCTTCCCTGCGCTGGAAAGATACTCTTGATGGCCACTTACCCACTGGGGAAGGAAGACCATTGTAGGCCAGCTTGAGCCTGCTGATTAAATGACTCACGCAAGTGGGCTTGGACCAGGAGAAAAGACCTTGGGATCTGTCTGGAGTGGGAAATGTCTGAGCTGTAGTTAGTGCCAGTGAACAACAAACGGGAAGGCTACGCTGCACAGACTCGGTTGTAAAGCCATTTGGGTCCATTGCTCAGAGATTGCTTCCTCAGTCTCTCTCCAGCCATCCTCAGGAGAGGAAAAAATGTTGCATTACTATTTATTATAGTCACAGCAGCTTAAACATGTTGTAGTGATTCCCTGGCCCCTGTAATTGGAGAGTTATCAGGATTTCCAGGCCCCAGAAGGCTGTGTGGATAAGTTGTGCTCCATTCTGACTGCTTCACTTCCCTTCTTCACCTCTCAGTCCAGGTTTTCAGTCTCCTCCCTTGAAGTTTTGGCATCTGTTTTGTCCCTCCATGAGCCCATTGTAGGCAGAGCAATTTCTGTGCAGCCCATAATAGTCTGGATCATGAAGAGCTTGATGCATTTAACTGTTTCCTGTATGAGGAGCCCACGGAGATAGGGATAGGCTTAGTGTGGTCCTGCCTGAATTTATGAAGCCATTTGAAGCCACAAACCACCGTGACTTAGCCTTTCTGAAGGCAGAAGTCTAGTCCTGCTCACAGACCTGCCCTTTCCCAAATCCTTGTAGCAAGAAGTGCATTAACTTTATTTTAGGCTCTCTCCAAAGACAAGCAAGAGGGGTTGAAAACAGTGCTCACTCATTGTAAAACATGCAAAATGTAGAATTTTATTGAAGTGGCTCCTTTCTCCACTTGGAAATGGTGTTTTTTGCTTTAATATTAACGTCCAAGGCACATTGACCTTGCCTGCAGCTTTACTGCCTGCAGGTTTTGTGGTGTCTGCTCTATTTTGTTTTATAGCCACATCTTTGGAACTGCGTATTTCCAGGCAGGGGGCTCTGCTGTGCTACGTATCTTTAAGGACGCTTGATTGCGACTAAAGGTCACTCTTAATCTCTGGTCATCAATTGTAAGAGATCACCAGTTCTCCATTATCTTCTACACAATTTTAGAGGGTTTGTTTAATTCAAACTTTACATGCAAATGGCAGGTACTTAATTTGGAAGGAAACCGTAGGTCAGAGCTATCGGGGTCCCTGTTATTGAGCGAGAATAATGACCTGCTGGAATCAACAGCTTGAGTTGTGGGTTTGGGGACAGCCAGCTTTGGCTGGGTGCAGTATTACTGCCCCAAGAAGCAGATAATATGCAGCCACTGTTCTAGGTAAGTAGTTTTCTTTTATCCAGCAGCAAACTCAATTGGTGAGCCCTCTTCCCTTGCAAGCAACCTGTTTGAATGCCCCCCATTTACTGGGCCCTGCCTTGCCAACCTGACAGGTCAATAATATAATAACAGTGTTTGTTCTCCATTCTCCAGCTCAGGACACACCCTGCGGTAGAGTTTTTATATCTAGAGGAGCGTTAATCCATTTCCCTTGCAGGCAACAAAGATGTGTGGCAGTCTCACAGGCTTGCTTCTGCTGCAGAGAAAGGAAGCAGCCTTCTTGAGAGTTGTTGGGTTTTGTGTGTTTTCAGTGTCCAGCTGATTTTTGGGAAACGTAGCCCCTGGATCTATCTGATGCTTGTAATTCCAGCTAGATTTTGCAGCTTGTTTGAATTTGTCCAGTAAATAACTCCATTTTGTGGAAGCGTGACCTCTGTACTACAAGTAGCAGAGAATCTGTTGTCCTGCCTTGGAATTGAACACCTCTTCGTGGCCAGTTTAACTTGAACTTGAGTTCTCCTCACACAGTGATGCAGACTGCATGGTGATCGACAAGCTGACCATCACTGATATGGCAACGACAAAGGTCTCCAAGCCACTGAACAGCACGGCCCAGCATTCGGAGGAGCACCAGAACGCTGCAGCTGTTGGTACGGTTGCTACGGAAGCCACAGCAAAAGACAGGTGAGCCGGTCATAGTAGAATTGAATCAGATAGCTTTAGCACTAGTGCTGGCATCAAACTATCCTGTTGGCTGCTCTGACTCAAATGTCTCGTGGTCCCGCTAGGCTGAAGGCAGTGTAGCTGGTGATTGCAGCGTCAAGCGCACATCCTTCAGTTTCTCACGGGTTTTATTACATCTGTGTCGCTGTTAAGCATCTGGATATTTTTAACAGTTCCTGTGCATAGCGGGGTGGGGGGATTAAAATTAAAGTAAATATATTACTTCAAATATCCTGAAGGGAAAGGAACTGTTTAACTTAAAAGGATAGCGCTGGCATAAGGACAAACAGGTCTAGACTGGCCATGAGTAAATGAGGCTGGAAATGGGTTAGGTTCCCAAGTACCAAAGCAGTGGGGGCCCGAAAGTCTCCCAGTAGAAGTACTGAAGCACAAAACGTGACTGCTGCTAAGATGGAGCTCTGTAAGTGTCTGAAGGGGATGGTGTGCTGTAGATTTATGCAGCAGCAGGGAGCCGGACTGGATGACTTGCTGTCAGGACAGCAAAGCAGTGGACAAGAGGAAGCTGTGCCTAGGGAAGTCGTGACACCTCCGTCGCTGGAGGTGTTCAGGAAGAGGCCGGGCGGGAATAGCGGTGCCTGTCTTCTGCTATGAGTATTTGCCAGGCTTCAGGGCTTTGCTGCCCACCATGTGGGGCCTGGAAGGAATTTTTCCCCCCTCCTGCTGTGACATGCGCCAGGGGTCTTTTTTCACCTTCCTCAAAGGCAGAGGGTGTTGGCTGTAGTGAAGGCTGGGGATTACAACTGGGCTGTGCCAGTGCTCCTACTGGGACTGAAACTGGGAGGATCTTGGCTAGAGGGTTTTGCCCCTGCTGAGGGTTGCTGCATTTGGGGTCAGGAACGGATTTTACCCCTGGTAATGGTTGGTATGACATGTGGGATTGGATTTGCCTTCCTCTAGCACGGGCACGGCCTCTGCTTGGGATCTCCTGCACGTATTTTAGCAGCCTTTGCAGCAGCTGGATGTTGGCTCCCGTGGTCCCCCTGCTTCACCTGTGGCAGATTTGGGTGTGATGTCTGGCACTGTGTCAGGATCGACTGTGTAGTTTTGCGAATAGGTTACATAATGTATTTGTTTGGGACGGCTTGGACAGGGCTGATCCTGCCCCAGGTGGGCAGTTAGACTCGATGACCTCTGGAGGTCCCTTCCAGCCCCACTTCTCTAGAATTTCATGATTGCAGGCTCTCCCTGCACCAGCAGCATGGTGCAGTGGGGAGTGATGCTCGATCCCAACAGTCGCACTTTCTGCCATACATGTGTGCAAGGCAGGAAGCAGGATTGATGCGATTGCGCTTCAGATCCCAGAACACCTTTAATTTGACATCTGTCAGGGGTCCTAGAGGCCTGAGAAGCATGACTTTTGAGGAAAGGCTGAAAGAACTAGGACCATTTAGTTTGGAGAGGGGAAAACTGAGGGGGGGATTTGTTAGCAGTCTGCAAATACTGGAAGGGCGATTTGGAGAGAGGATGGAGGTAGGCTGTTCTCTGCAACTGCTGGGGACAGGACTAGGAGCAATGGCCTCAGGCTCTGGCAGCAGAGAAAACTGAGGTTGGAGATGAGGAGGGACTTTCTTGCTCTGAGGGTGGTCAAGCACACAAAAACATGGTGGCATCTCCTTCCCTAGACATTTTCAAGAGCAGGCTGAACAGACACTTGTTTTAGTCAGGAATGATCCTGCCTGGAGCAGGGGGTTGGACTAGATTCCCCCATGAGGTCCCTCTCAGCCCTATTTTCTTTTGATCCTGCTTCTTCTGTGAAGCTCTGAAGGAGGGTGTGGAGAAGCCATGCTTGTATCCAGCTGGCTTTGATTTCTTTCATCCTTGCCCATCTGAGTACAGACCTGCCTATGGAACAAGGACTACACTGGTTGCAGTGGCCACTGATTTTCCTCCTCGTACTGGGTGGTGACCAGATGTTCAGGTGATTTTTGGGAGATCTTTCAGCTGCCTTTGGTATCAAGGATCAAGCAGCATTGCTTACGCATAGCGGGGAACTGTCTCTCTTTCCTTGCCTTCCTTCTCTGCTGTAAGACCACAATGGATGGTGGCGGATGGAAAACTCTCAGGTATGAGATACTGCCAGATGCCATTGTGTCTCCCTTCTGTCCCACCTGCCGGTGGGGCTGTCAGTATGGAGGGAAGGGGGGGTGCTGCATTTTCAGCTGTCTTCTCAGAGTCAGGTGATGTAGTTCAGCCCCTTGGCCACCATTGAGTTGAGACTGGCAAGGGTGAGAGCAAGCTGGTTGAGCCTTAACAGTGTGGCATGGTGGGGGGTAAGCAGAAGCCACAAGAAGAGACCTCTGAGGGGTATATCTGCCAGTAGTTACTGGTGCTCACAAATTCGGGCTGATTTTTTGACCCCAGCTGGTGTCATTGCAGCGGTGACCCGGTCAGCTCGCTTTGATCTGTGCCTGATAAAGAGCATGTGGTCTGTCCTTTCAGGATTGGACTGGCTCTCTATGCATTTGTCACCCTGGGATTTACCCCACTGCCACGCACTTTTTGAGGGACTGCGCCCTCAGACCCATTGGAGACGGCAGCTGGGGTCAAAGCATTGTGATTTCCTTCTGGCATGCCACCTGGCATCCTGCTGGAAACGTGGGGTGCCAGAGTCCTGAGATCTGTGTTGGCCGCCCTCCGCCTGCTTTCTGGGCGCCTGAGGTGTTGGTTGGGGTGTCTCAAGCTCTGACTGGCCAGGGAGCAGTCTACTGTGCCATCCTGCAGATGCTGGCAGCAGAGGTGCCCGCGCTGGGTCTCTTCCATGAGAGGAGAGCAGGTTGGCAAGCATTCTGTGTAAAAGCTCCAGGATCGGCTTTTCTTTTCATCTGAAATAGCCCAATTGTAGGAGCTTTCTGAGCAGGCTGAAGCAGGAGCCCTAGGGGGAGAAGCTGGGGTAGGAATATGGCTGCCTAGCCAAGCTCCTGATTTTGTGTTGCTAATGTAATTGCCTGCGCTCTATGATGAATTCTGTAATGGCCCCAGGAGCTTTGTGCACCATGCTGGGGAAGGGGTGTTAGCAGGGAAATCCCTGCCCTTCTGCTCCCCCACTGTGTGTTAGCTTCTTCTTCCTTTCCTAAACTGATTTGTTTTAATTAAACTTGGGTTTGCAGTTGACTACTGCTACTGTAGGGAGCACCTAGTCAGGACTAGGGGCCTCTCACATTGTGGACCATGTAAATATACCCTAAGACCTTCCCTGCCCCAAAAAGCTGGCAAGCTTAAGCAGAGCAGACAGGCAAATTGTTGAAGTACGTGAGCTTTTGTTAAGAGGAGGCTAGATGAACACCTTGCTGGGGTCGTTTGACCCCAGTACTCTTTCCTGCCATGGCACAGGATCAGACTTGATGATCTGCTCAGGTCCCTTCCAACCCTAGAAACTATGAAACATTTTCCTTTGAGATCCATGTCCCTTCCCCCAGTGATCATTTCCTCCTCCGCCCAAGATCTTTCTCTGCCTGTGCATGCCTGCCGAAATGCCCTTGTTTCACGCTGCCTGTCCCACAGAAGTGCTACGCCTGGTTTTTGTCTGATTGGTACGTTCAAAGCAAAACCAGTTATGCTAAGGAAGTAGAGCGACAAGCGAAGTTTCAGCTACCCAGCACGTTTCAGAGGAGGGGTGCGAGTGAAGCTGGGAGCCAGGGGCACGCTGCTCTGCATCCTGGCTTGATGTCTGTTCTGTTGTTGGATTTGGGCAAATGACTTGGAAGATACTCGGTATGAGTACTTTCAAAGAGGAGCTTTCTGAGCAGCCTCCAAAGAGGATAGATCTGGACTGTTCCCAGTGGGGGAAGATGACAGGACAAGAAGCAGTGGGCTCCAGCTGCAGCAAGGGAATTTAGGTTGGCTATTAGGAAAAAGTTTCTCTGTAGGAGGGTGGTGAAGCACTGGGACAGGCTCCCCAGAGAGGTGGTGGACTCTCCATCCTTGGAGGTGTTTAAGCTCCAGCTGGACAAGGCCTTGGCTGGGATGATGTAGTTGGGGCTGGTCCTGCTTAGAGCAGGTGTTGGACTAGATGTCACCTCCTGAGCTCCCTCCCAGCCCTCCTTGTCTGTGATTCTGTGACTTGTTTGCTACAACTTCTTTTGGAAAATGGGAGGAATGTACTTACCTTCCTGCTGGACAGGTTCCCTGAGGGGATATAGAAGAGGTAAGTGACTGTGGTTACAGCTATTAGAAGGAACAGGTGCTGGTAGAATGGGGTAAACACTACAGGAAAAAGGAACTTTCCAAGGATTAAAGTAAGCTTGAAGCTGAGCGGGTGACACAGCTGTTGCATTTCTCTGATGTTGCTCTTTGTTTTTCCTGTAGGAAGGAAGAGGTCTTACCGTGTGCCGAAGCCACATTAAATGGCCCCGCTTGATGAAGCGAATGCAATGGGACATGTGTGATCCAGGCCAGGCTGCTACCTGGTGATGCAATTTGTCAGTTTTTTTCATTTTAATTTTATTTTTTAATAAATGCTGCATTGATGAGAGAGCTGGCATTCAGGACCAGACGCGATTCCAACACCAACAACCTGTTCTGAAAGACACTTGCATTGTCTAAATGTAGCATGGATCAGTTAGTCATCAGAGTGACTGGGTCCTACCCAAGCAAGCCTTCTGCCTGGTTTCAGTTCCTTGTCCCCCTTCCTCTTCTCCCCTGGTTTTTTTGTTTTCTCTCTGGGGTTCAGTCCTGTTTCCTTAGTGTTATTGCACACAGTATTCAGCTTCTCTTCAGAAAGGTAGCAGGTCTAACGCTGGGGCTTGGACAGTGCACAAAAAGTCCTGCAGTCGTCTGACCAAAGTTCCTGATGGAGCTGCCTCGGGCAGCATTTGCACCGCTTTTGTATAGCAATAAAGCCTTATCAGAAACATTTCATAGGAGGAAAAGATACAAACACTTCAAACGGGATGTGGCAGGGAGGGATATTTTTTTTCTGTGGGGTGGGAGGGAAGACATCAACATGGTCCCAAGCCAGAGGCCAGATAGCAAAGTTAGCGTAACACTGAACCATCTTGAGACATGGGAGATCTCTGCGTTCCAGTGAATGGCACCGTGCTCTGATCTCTGGCGACGTGACAGTTCACTGCAGGATCTTGGACCATTTTAGCAGCTGGTCACTTCCGTCCGAGCCATCCAAGCTCAACCCTCTGGATGTCATCCTACGTTGGGCTGGGAAGCGTGCAAAGGAGGTAGCGTGTCATGCTCGTCGGCTGAGAGGACAGCGACCCACGGGACGGCTGCCATGCAGGGAGAGGAGCAGACGTGGCCCAACCAGGTGATGAGGTGCTTGCTGGCTTTTTGGAAACTAATGTGTTTTCAGATTCATATGGAGATCTTTTTTGGTTTTCTGTTCTGTTTTTAAAAGTTTTTAATGGATGCAGGAACAGCAACACTTTTGCACTTTGTACCTAGCGACAGCATTGGAGAGGGAAGCGACCCCATCACGGGACTCTTGCTGTTACTCTCCATGTAGTCAAGTCGCAGAGAGGGCTGGGGGGCACGCTGCTCCCAGGCTAGTGGATAGAGCAGGGTGGGGGACAGGACTACACCTCAAATGACCTGGGAGCAGGGTCAGTTCAGGATGGGTATTTGACCCTGGAACAGAGGATCCTCTGCATAAGCATGTAGGACCTTCTCCAGCATAAAGACTGTACCAGTGTCTGCCCCAGGTCCGCACTGATGTCGAGCCCAGTGTGCTGGCCTCAGCCACAAGCTTGTTCCCAGACTGGACTTGTGCACATAGATCATACGGGTGTAGAAGCTGGGCCACTTCAGCTCCGGGCTCGTGCTGGTAACAGCAGACTGCCATAAACAGTGCTCGCTCTATACCCCCGTAGGCTTTACTGCTCGTGTGTAAGCTGTGTGCTGAGACCCACCTGTCCTCTCTTCGATGCCACTTATTTTCCCAATCCGAGGTCTAAGCTGGAAAATCGTTTACTTTGGAATAAAAGCATAAAGCTTGGCACATAGGTAACTAGATGGCTTATTTTCAGAGATACTCTCATCCATGCAGTCTGAGGGACTCTGCCTTGTAAGTATGAGAGAGTGCCTTGCACTGGCCTCCCATCGTGAGCAAAAGCACACCTGCCATAGTCAGGTTTGATTTTCAGAGTGCTCTGGTTTCGCCTCTCTGATACCGCATATGCCATGTTCTGTATAAAAGGTGGAGATGGAGAGGCTTGCCCCAGTCCAGCAGGCTAGACTGTCCTATTATGAGTATTTCGCAGCGAAGTGCCCCAACGGAAGCCTGAAATTTATTGTCATTTTTGATCTAGGGCAGCCTGAGGATTGCCTTTGAGCATCAGTGATGTAGTCAGCTGTGATTCCCTGGCCAGGAAAACCCTTTGTGGCACAGCTAGTGGTTCTTAGAGATCTCTCTCTCCCTCTCTCTCTCTCTCTCTCTCTCTCTCTCTCTCTCTCTC